TGACTAAAGGTTGATATGTTATCACACAATCTTTCATTACATCATCAATCGAGTAAGTAAATTAAATAAATATGACTGCGTGTACCACCGATGGTACACGTGTCAATCAAATTACTTGGCTCTCGGTACTATTATTGATTGAGATCTCTTTCGAAATAACGATCATTGTCTAGTGATTAAATTAACACTAAATTATGTTTGCTTTGTGCAAGAAGGACGTTCGACGTTCCATCGTCCGATTTTCTTCGGGGGAGGGCTGGTGGAACCCCCGGTGGATAGTGTTCGAGGTAGTGTTCATTATGGTTGGCGTAGGCGCGGATTTACGAAGCGACGCGTCGTCGCGCGGGCGGCTAACCGCGAGTACGAAGCATGCATGCACACGAGGTCAATTGCTTCAATTCCAGCGGTAGCCGGTCGCAGTGTGGGCAAACTTCCGGCAGGATTCACGAATGTTAAGCGGCCCGGCTACAGAAGACGGCCGCTTGGCGTGCGCGACATCCTGTCCCGGCCACCGTTTGTAATTTATACCACGATTTAGACGACGATGACCACCGACGACGATCTTCCGGTATTATCCTACAACGACGCGCTACAACTGACACGCTTTGCAACAGTTTTATTTATTTCGCCGCATTCGACAAACACCTGTAACTTCCTGAATGTTGCCCGCACTCGAGGTGGAACGTTGTAAGGGACTCGATCGAAAGAGAAGAAAGTGAGAAATAGTAGGGAAAATGTGAGAAAATTAAACTTCTCATCAAGTCAGTCGTTTCATTTCGAATTTTTAGATCGGCAATTTTAACTGGATGCGGGACAAATAAGTCTATATAATTGATCCTGATACTCCTCTCTGATTTATATCGTTCGTATAGCTGAAGATCGAGTTGGATTCATTTAATCGATTGAAATTTGATTCAAATGGAAACAGATGTGATCTTCTCTTTTACAATTTAATTTGAACTTTATTCAAAATAGGACAAAATGCTGCTGTTCTGGCTATAATCTGCTATAAATCTTCCTTTAATACATATCTACTCAATTAGCTTTGCACTAGGTTTGCAAATTTATCATAACTAGTCTATTTATTGGTCTACTATAGAACACTGCTTGAAACTCCGTGCTTCTTTCTATCCTGGTAGTTGATAGTTCGATAGTTGAGTATTGAAGAACGCGTAGATTGATTGATACGTAGAATCGTAGCCAATTGCATGTTAAGTAATCATGTTCTCCAGTATCGACCCGAGAATAACTTCCAGTTGTTTGCTATCGACAACTCTGTATAACCATGATTCTTTCACTCTATCTCTAGTATAACTATCGATACTTCGTAGAATCTGCTTTATTTTCAGCTCGCAGTATCAGAGAACGTAGAACAAAACAATGGAATAAAAATGAAAAATTGTCTCGCTCTGTTAGCATGCATTTGTTGATTCCTCGAGGTATCTAATCGAAGCTCATAGGCCGCTGGAGAGCTGCGTTCGGAGAAAGGAGATCTCCTCAAATTTTGTGGTTTTTCTAAATTCCTAAATTTTCGTGAATTTCTAAAATCTTCGTAGCTTCGAAGTTCTGGAGTTCTGGTTTTGCGGTTCTAGAATTCTGGAGTCCCGGAGAACTTTGAAGCTTCAGAAGCTTACGGAGACCTACAGTTCTTGAGATTTTAACATTCAATGTTCAAACATGATGCACAACTTTAGAGTGAGATTCCAAAGATCCCAAACTTCTGCATGTTGTTCTTCAATTGTTATACATTCTTCGTATATATACGAGCCATTACTGTTACTATATATCGATTATTTTCTCCGAATGCATATCACCATCGATCGCATGGTACTTCACACTGATGACACGCCAAGTCAGCGCATGAATCCTCCCGAATCCTTTTGATTGACAAATTTGCTACCGGTGGACAAATGATCTGAGTATTTACCGGATCCCGCCGTTCGAAACGAACGAAAATCACGCTCGTAAAAAATGTAGTTTTTCTATCACATGTAAGAACTTGCCTAGAAAAAAATGAGTGTTCTGGGGGAAGATGACGTGCCAGAGGAAAACTGAGAGAAAGACAAAGAGAGTAAGGGAGAGTGAGAGAAAGACTTGAGTGTTGCCTGAGAATTCTTATCTAGCGATCCAACCCTCTCACTATCCGATGTTCGCCACCGCTCGCTGCTCTGCTAGCAAAACCTGCGATGCGCGAATGACAAAAAAAAAACATTGTACATATAGGTAAGGCCGGTCGGCTGAGTGACATCATTGTTATCATTTAGTACGTTTGTTCTTGTCGCTGAACCCTGCAGACGAGCGCCCCGAGGTCCCTGAGGCCCAGAGGACCCGGGTCATGGACCAAGGTGAGTCCTAGTTCTGCACATGAAAAAAAAAAAAAAAAAAAAAAAAAAATACCACTGCGTTATTTCTTCCTCTCGAATCTTTCGCTTATTGTCGATTGTCTGTTCACTTGTTGCGGGATTCCTCCGTGAATTTTTTTTCTTTTTTTTTCTTTCTTTTTTATCGCGTTAATGTCGTACCATCGCGTGTACAATGTGGCTTGAGAAATATTCTTCTGCGATAATCAATCGATTCGATGTACTGTTTTCTCCCTTCTTCTTTCGTGCTTTTGTTCTTTATTTCTATTTCTATTTCTATGTTTTTTTGTGTATTGTCAAGTGAATATATGATACAAACTTTCTTTAGTTGACTTAGTTTTTGAAGAGTCGTTTTTTCACTCCGAGAAAGTTGCCCAAGATGTACCTACATGGAGTGAAAGAGAAGAGCTTCGTAACCTAATTATTTCTAAATGGTTTTTAAATCATCGCTTTGCTACGTGAAATGTAAAATTTTCAGCAAAAAAAAAAAAAAAAAAAAAAAAAAAAATAGCAAAATTGTTTCATCTGATGATTTACTTGGAAAAATCCGCAGGAATCCCCGTAGCATATTTACGCCGGAAATTACTGTTTGCATTTTCTTTTTCATATTCTCTGCGTAGCTAAAAATAAAATATATTTCAGAAGAAAGTAGTGAAAATCAGTTTCTTTTATATAGATAAATTTATTCGTACAATTTCAGGAAAACAATAGACTCATTTTAAAAGGATCCACATAGCAATGTGTTCCTTTCTATAAACATGTTTCACTTTAATCGATAAGACAAATAATCTTTCTACGTGTACTTCGTGTGCGTCACCACCCATTCATTCGCAATTTTTGTAAAAATGATTTTTTTTTTTAAATTCAGAAGAAAAGAGCGCGTATTAAACTATTGAATTATTATTGTCACATTTGAGTAAAACGCATTTACTCAAATATCCGTGCATGTACTGTATAAAAGGAAAAGAGAAGGGAAAACATGTATGAGTCTGTGTGTGAATCTCGTTGTTCGTTGGGTGGTGACAGTCACTTCACAAAATTATCCTAAGAAAGCAAATGTGCGACATCGTGATCATCAGCGAGTCTGTAAATACGAGTCTGTTTTTCCAAATTAACCGCTGCATTAACAGATCGTAACGGAACGATCGCACGTTGTACAAAGAAATAAAGATCTTCACCGTGTACATTGACTTAATAGTAGAATGTTCCGTGGAAAAAGAAAAAAAAAAACGAGAAACGTCATCCTTGTACATAACAATTAACATTAATCTTAAAGTTTCGGTGAATGGGCCGACTATTTGTTGATTGAATTGAAATAACAAAGACTCAGTGGTGATACTATTTTTTCCGTTTTTCACAGTGTTGAAAGGCAATCCTCCTCCGGTGCATTCTCGGCCAACGTTCAATGATGATCCAGCCGATACGAAAGAAGATAGTGATGGTGAGTTTCGTGAATTTAAAGAATCATAACTACATTTTAGATAATTTAGATCCAGTAAAGTTTCACGTGATAATGATAAAAAGAAAGCATAGCTTATTAGCTAAAATTTTAATTATTTCCCCTTATTGTTCATTGCCTGTATCTGAAACTCTGAACTCAACGAATATCAATTTACAGCAAACGATTGTTTGACGGACAGACGATCCGTACTAGAAGACGAGAGGCAACATTCTCAGGAGAAGTTTTATATACCTGAATGCACACCTGACGGAAGGTATCATCGAGTACAATGTTATTCTGGCTACTGTTGGTGCGTATATCAGGATACTGGTAAACCAATACCAGGAACATCTTCTAAAGATAGTACACCAAACTGTAATCCAGTACCTACTCCTAGTAGACCCATGAAAGGTAACTAAATTACCTTCAATAAAGATATTCTTAAGAATGCCTTTCATCAAATGATATTTGATTCTGACGCCAGGTTGTCCTGAACAAAAGAAACAATTGTTTCTACGAGATTTAATGGATTTAATGTACAAGAAGATGAAAGCCTCCGGCACGGATTCCGATGAAACGACGGCTAAGTGGCAAGCCTCTAAAGAGGAACAAATAGCAACCTGGCATTTCGTCATGCTTGATAAGAACAAAAATAAGGCAAGGATAAAAATACATTTTTAATAAATACTTGTGCTA